ACTTATTAAATTTTGCATAGAATACTTGAAATTATATTATTAAGAAGAATGTGCGAATATGAAACAAACTTTAAAATTTATTTAAAACAATAATACTTGTCGGCGGGTATGAGATGCATAATACAACATGTTTTAAGACATTATGCACTGCAAACAGAACATTTAAAACATAAGCCATGAATGTACTCACATTTGAAAGCAATAACTGAGTCGCAAAATAAAGTTTGAACTGCAATACCGTGTCGATGTGTGCAACAATCGGTTATCCATGCTCCAAAAAAATATATTTTATAGCACGTAATAGATAGGCAAAGATGACAAGAAACCCAACAAGTAATTAACAATTAGGGTTTCTTTTTCCAATAAAAAAACTTTTAGGACAAGCAATATTATGCCGAAGAACCAGTTCACTAATCACAAACATGTTTAGTTCTCAGAGTTTTACAAAATAATGCGCCTCTCACCGCTTATACAAAGTAGGTATGTAAACAAAACCACATACGACAAGACCGCAGAGGAGAAATTCACAATTCAAACTCAAGCTAATGCATTTAAATATTCTGCCACCCAGTGGACAAATGCAGAACTATAAAACCTGCTTCTCACTAACTCAGACACAGCATAAACAAATATAAACGGGTCATTCTACAGAAACTCTTTTCGTGTAGCCAAATACCTAAAAATCTATATACGTTTATAGTATTTCAATTTAGCCCACACTATTCGAAATGACAGCTTATACAAAATATTTAATAAATTAATTTAATAAAATTATTTAAAGTTTACTTTAAATGTACTTTTAAAAAATAAAAAATTATCTTATTTAAAGATGTGTCACTAGTGTGACCTACCTTTTCATTTCTTGATTTTTTTGCAGATATAAAGCAAAATAATGATAATGCACCATATTACATTTTTAAAAGTTATTGATGTTAGTTCACTTCCTCACCTCAATCATAATGGTTCTAACAATGGGAATAAGTAATGATGCAATCCTTCAAATCTTAAGATTAGCAGAACTCAATGAATTTAAAATTTGTTTATTTTAATTTACTTATGTCTACATATTTGAAAAACATAACAACACTGGTGTTATCCATAAGAGCAACACCAGATATAATTTTCCTGAAAAAAATGCATTTACGAAACCTCTGCTGCAAAATATAATCATGTTAACACTCATGTCTCACTAAATTAGTACATTTACATTCTATTGCTTTATAATTAAATTTATACTAATAAAGGAGGTCCATCAACTAAAAGCTTAATGTAATTTTTTTTGTTAAACGATAACACCCTAGGCTACTACATCCACTACTTTTACTAGTAAATTATAATATTTACTTGACTTTTCATATTAATCTTGTTTATCGAATGGTTATGAATACATCACTGTAGTTTAAATGATGGAAATATCCAACTTCTATGTCAAAATGAAGTATATTCATATTAGAACGTGAATGAATTGTAAACCGTTTCTCAAGTGTAATTTCTGTTAACCAGGACAGAAAAACTGACATATCTGTAGAATGACCCAAACAACACTTTAAGATGAAAATATAACTTATCTGTACCGAATACACATCACACAACATATGTTCGTGTTCAGATAATAAACCTATGGATAGTAACGTTAACGTTACATTTTAGACTGATGCACATTCAGACTTTCTCCTTAATATATTTCAGAAACGTATTAGTTGAGGTCAAATTAAAACACTGTTCAGACGATCAAATAGTGTTAATGTTGCTTTTAAGTCATATGTACATGCTATTTCAGATTATAGCGTGATAAACAACATAGGAATGACTGTCAGGAAAGCTGTCACGTTGCAAAATGAACGATTGTGCGAATATAATTAAACTTAACTTCAATTACATCTGGTGCCTTTAGGTCGTTTTGACACAATAAAGTCAAAAAACATAACAAAAACATCTATCTGGCTAAAAAACCACGTTTACATCATGTCCGCGGACTCCCAGATACAGTCCTGAACGATTTCAGTGTTCCGAATTCGCGCTAAATTGACGCTAAAACAACCTGTCGAAAACTAAATATCAACAACTTCGATGAAACCTCCGAAATAACGATTAATACTCGATTAATGTGCACAAAACAGTTTAATTACTCACCTTTGTTCAGGTTCGGCGGTAGAAATAACTGTTGACACGTGAAAACAAATTATCAGGTGCGCCACATAATGACGTGCCATCTTCGTACGTAAATTTACGTTACACGACCACCAACCAATAAGGTAAAATGTTGTTAGTGTGTTGTTTTTACATGCTACACGTTAATATTCATCTTGGAAAAAGTTTTCTTAACTTCCTACAATTTTATTAAGATCTTCAAAATTCATATTATATTTATTGATGTTTTATTTGTTTATTCAGTAACCACAATATTTGACCCAAACATTTATTGCTTTGATTACTTCTAACATACAACAAATGTAGCCTAGTATATCAGGCCTAAACACTATAAAATATAGCGAGAAGTATTGTTATAATGTTAGTTTAAAATAGAAAAAGTGAAAAGTGTTTAGTTTGTAAGTTAACCAGATGGAAGAGGCTAAATAAGTTAAATGTATTAGGGTTTAAAGCAAAATATTACTTTAATAAGCTATTCATTTCATTACTGAAAGGATATACATTTCATAAAATTCCATGTTTATCTTTATATTTATGTCCATTGTTGAAAAATGCTGAACACATTTAAAATAACCAGCTGTGTTTTCAAGTGAATTGCAGGAGCTACAATTTATTGTATTTTTTTGTATAATTTTATATAACAGTTTACAGCCTAACTTAATGTGGTAAACTGTGTTCAGTGAGCTTTACCTGTCTGGATACTCAAGAAAAAAATACATTTACCAGCTGACAAAATATATGATAAAGTCTTCAAGTTTGCTTTTGCTGACATGTTGAGAAAAACTACTAATGAATTACTTCTGAAGTTATTGAATAACTAATTCATTCATAAATAGGCCTCCAAAAAGTCATGTTTGCTGTGCTGTGTTTTTAACAGTGGTCTGCGTGTGTGATGTCTGAGAAAGAGATGTAAAGTGCTGTTCAGGTTCATCAGATTAATCTATCATACATTAAAAAAAGAGCAAAAAACAGGGCAAATATCAATTTAATGAAGCAAATAAACAAGTGATGGACATCAATACTCTACTTTTACAGAATTGTACAATTCTTTTTTAAATGCGCATCTTGGCATTTCTATTATGTATTTTTAATGTGATATTTCAAAATGCACATAACAAAAGCTATGCAATTCATAAATATTTTGGTATGGTCTAATATTGTTTTAATATGAGATGACTTTAATCTGTCCACCTGAAGGAGTCACAATGTCCAATCAAAGCATTACATTAAAAGGTTGAATATTCTTTAAAACAAGGACAAAATTATCACAAGATATATGTTGAATGAATGTTCAGTGGTTCTGTATACATTTTCTAAACCATTTTTTTCCTGAAAACTCATAAGCAAAATCTTGGTGACAAGAATGTAGAAATTAACAATCAAGAAAATTATTTGAAAAACTGGAATAGAAAGTTGAGAGTTCTATCTTTTACTGTATTTTTAGATGAAAGGGGGAATCTATTTTATTTGCCACGCGTGTCATTTTGTATGCTAAAATAATTATGTAATTTACATTAATGAACGTTCTGACAAAATTCTGAAAAGGTCTACATCAGGGATGGGCAATGGGCATCCCTAGGCAATTTGAGTTTTGCTCCAACCCTAAACAAACACACCTGCCTGTTGCTTCCTAGTGATCTTGAAGACATTGGCTGCGTCCAAAATCATCTGTTACTCAGTAGGTAATGCATTTGAATTTACTACTCGACTGTTCCATCTATCTATCTATCTATCTATCTATCTATCTATCTATCTATCTATCTATCTATCTACAAATAGATATGTTCTATACATGAATTCTCTCTCAGCGCACTTGGGATAGCGTAGTGTGCATCGGATGCTCACTTCAGAAACTCGCCCAATGTAATAGGTCATTTGGACGGATTACTTGCCTCGCATACTGATTTTAGTGTACTATATAGTAATAATACAATTTCAGACCACCCACTGATTAACTTGTTCAGGTGTGAACAGGTCAGGTTTGATAAGTGTTGGAGCAAAACTATGCAGGGCACCAGCCCTCCAGGACCAAAGTTGCCCATCCAAAGTCTACATCAAGGGTGCCCACTTATCCCCATTCCTGGAGATCTACCTTCCTGCAGAGTTCAGCTCCAACCCCGATCAAACACAACTAAACCAAACGAGCAGGATCTGAAGGAGAACTTGTTAACTAAAGAGAGGTTTGCAGCTAAACTCTGCAAAAAGGTAGATCTCCAGGAATGGGGATAAGTGGGCACCCTTGATGTAGCCTTTGGATGGGCAAGGGTTCGGTCCCTCTGGTTTACGTTCCAAGATGTCTTTTTAGGTTGAAAAACCCTTGTGTTAATCTATTTGGTAACTTTCTGACAATTACTTTTGTTCACCGGTTTACTGTTTGGGTGTCTAATGTTGAGCCATTTGGTTATAATGCTAATGGACAAACTGTCTTCTGACCTTTTAGTTTTACAAAATGGCTGCCACTCAAGTATGAATATCACATCTGCATCTATTGTTTGTGGACAAAGTAAATCACACACATTGAGACGTCACTAAGATTGTCTCGACGGCAATTTGTAAACTTAAAGTTGGTGAAAATGATTAGGGAGTCTTAGTGGAAAGTCCCAGCAGCAAAAAACAAATAAGGGGCTATGTAGCATGGCATTATGCTAAAGACATTTTCACAAACACAAAAAAATTACTCACTTTAGTGTGCCAGTATGAAGTATCAGTTACCATCTGTAGACTAGTGGTTACCATTGGTTCAGGAAGAAAGGCGATCATTGGTGAGGAGTAATTGCCAAGATATTTGTTTTTGCACAAACAGATTTAAATAAAACACAAGCGAAGAAATAAGCAAGAATCACTCACTATTTGGTGAAAATAAACTGCCAGTTTAATAACCATACAATAAAACCTGTAAATACAGATGAATTATCCTAAAAAAAAAGAGAGAGAGAGAGAGAGAGAGATAAAGAAAAAAGGAAAATGCACAGCCTGCTATAGTCAAACAAAGGGAATTATCAAGGAGGACAATTAGATTTCACAACCTCTGATCCCCAATACATTCACTCGCACTTTCAAGCACAAACGTACAGCCACTACAGTTACTTTTGGTTAGTGGCACGCGCACACTTACAGTCACACAGACGCACATAAAGAACAGGGATTGATAATCAGTACAGATTAAATTCACAAACAAAATTATTGGACCTGCTATAACGTCAGCGTATAACCCTGTGAGCCAACCCACCCCCTTTACAGCCGCTGGGGATCTGTTTAAAGGGTTTCGTTGAGCGTCTTCCTGCGGGTGCTGATCATCATTCAAAGGGTATAGAGGAGCAGGGCTGGGAACTAAATAGAGAAGGGTGAGTGGTGTTGGGTGGAATGAGGTGGGAGAGTTGATGGAAGCCTTTTGTGTATTTAAGATGAATGTATGTGGGTGTGTGGAGATCAGGGCTCCCCTAGTTTTCGTTTTCCCCTGCTTCTTCACCCTGGTTTTCTGATGTCCAAAGCTATAGGCATAAGAGTCAACAAAGTATATGAATCAACAATGTGCTGAAACACATGTTTAACTTACACAGAAGATAGAAAGCTGGACTTACAGTGAGGTTGTCCCTTAGAAGCTGCATGATCAAGGTGCTGTCTTTGTAGGAGTCCTCATTTAAAGTGTCAAGCTCAGCAATGGCTTCATCAAAAGCCTGTAAAAGAAGACGATTCACCGGGGTATAAGCTCAGACCAGGGGTGTGCTTTTACGACAGATTATGTGGTCAACAAACACAATGGAATCTCAGCAATACTTGCTTCACAGACATAAGAAAGAACCAACTACACCTGAAAACAAAAGTTTTCTGGTTTTGTAATCTCTATGAGATGAACACGAGGTACAGTCCATCCTGTCAAACGCACATCACATGACAGCAACTACTCAAACAGCCACATAATTGTGAACAAAGAGTTGCTGTCATGTCGGGGAGATTCGCTATCAAGACCAAGTTGTGAATTACTTCAGAAGAGCAGTGCGACTGGACGAGGCATTAATCAGAGGATGATAATGTGTAGAACGACCATTAATGAAGTTGGTGTTGTGACCATAGACTGTAAAATATATGGACGTAGTATCCATGACGTCACCCATAGGTTTCTGAAGAGCGCAAAAGAAGCCACAAGTAGGCGCGGCTAACCTTTGCCATTTTGTTCGCGCGTCATCGCACTCACGGTGGGATACCAAACAAGGGCAATGAGGCGGAAAGTGAGTAGAGCTACAGAGACCTGCTGGCATTTTGCTTGGACCTAGTTCAGACACACTTTACTTTGGGAGAACGCTTAATACTTTATTACCTGTGACTCGTTTGTGTTCTGACCACATGTGCTTGGTTGTACACTATATCAATAAAGTGTTTAGACTTTTAAAAATACTGTAGTAATACATTTAGCCACTAAGTATTGTTCTTATGACGTTTTTCAACAGGAGGAAAACGCGAATGACTTCCAAACCCTTCAGATATAGTCTGTGTTAGTAAATGCAAGACTTTAGGGTATATGCTGAGCTAGAGCTGTTCCCATGCTGATACACTTCCGTTGACCTGTTATTGTGAACTTTTTTCCATTTTATACGGTTCCTTATATAGCATCGATGTTGTAATGTCATTAAAATACATTCAGTTAAATAAACTTTAGCATTTATTTAGTTGCCCAAGGGTAAAACGAGACAAAAAGCCGTTTACTCGCACGCCCCGTCAGAATCGGCAGGCTAACGCAGAAGCTCCATTGAATATACTAGGGTAAAATAAATGCTCATATTATAAAGATATGGCGGGGGAAATGTAATTTAATGCAGTGCTTTTTGTAAAACCTGAGACCCACTTTAAATCGGATATCACTCGCTCATCGCTGATTTTTAAAGAAAACAGACCTTAAACGCACAGGATTTTGCATTGGCATTCAATTAGCCGGAAGCGCTTAACCCAGGTTACTGGCAAATTAAAAGTCCGATTAGCATGCTTCGGCATATACCCCATTGATGAAATCCAACATAACACTGTATGATAACACTTCAGATGACTGTTCTAGAGCCTACAGCTAATCATTCCGTCAGATTCTGGAGTGCATTACAGCTCTAAATATCATATAACTTTACTCACATGGGAAACGGAGGCCACGTGAATGGTTTGTGAGCACAATTAAGTGCACACAGCGTGCCATGCCATATGATAATTGTAGGAAACAAGTACAAAAGACAGTTGACTGTGTAAAGCCACATAAAACAACACAGAAATACGATAAATATGCCGAGTTCAGTGGCTAATCTGCAGGATTCAGCTGAGGTGACGTGACGGCGACCAATGAGACCTAGCTGTCACTTAAGTGGCTACTCCCTTAATTATGCAAACTTAATATAACTTAATATAAGGGAAACGGATGAGTTATAAAAAAATTCACCCCCTCACAGTTGTCATGAAGGGTAATATTAGCTGTATTAACCAAAATCTTTTTTTGTACCAGGCTGTAAACACCTTTTTTTCTGCTGTAAATTTGGCCATTCTAACAGTGGGCTCAACTGAAATTTGCTCTATTATGGAGCCAGGAGTGGCCAGGACTAGCGGAATTTCGGTTGAATTGCAGTTTTAGTTACTTCCATGTTGGCTTCCCGAGGGAGAGCGGGAGGTTGCCGCTTGGTTGTGACAATAAAAAAATGCAGATTTAGTTTCGAACATTTCATAATGAAACTTATGAGACAGTCGTTAAATTAATTTTATTTGCGATTCCAAATATCTAAATGTAATTATAAGCTTCGCAAACAGTTTTGGAGAATTTGATGTTTTCCCGTTTAGACAGAATGCCTGATCATACTGCCCAAGAGGCATTTCAAAGACGGCTGCGGAGTGAAATGACTTGCCTTAAAGGAACTATGCTTTGTCTTAATAGCTATGTTTCCATCCAAAAATGTAAATTAGACTTGCCCACAACACTGGAATATCGCATACAACATTTGCAAATAAAGCACCTTTTTGCCTTCTAGCGGGTAAGAGAAAATTTCTTGAGAAGCTTGCACCAAATATCAAAAAAACAATTTAAATTTGCTGCGGTAGGACAAGCCACTGTAGGCACTTTTTCTTATAGAATTATTCACAAGACAGTCAGCCAAGAAAGTTTTAGGAAGTAGGGCTGCTCGATTCATCGGAAAAGATCACGGTCTTGGTTGTATTCTGATGTTATTAGTTTACTGTGGTTTAACAAACAGGACATAGCCTATTGCAAGTCTGTTCAAGTCCACCATAATGACTATACAAAATTTAGCATTTTAGGCAACAGTAGACATACACATAGGCCTAATATTATTATTGTTGTTTTACCATATGTTTGAGAATAACAATAATAATAGCCTACTCATTCATTCATTTTCTTTTCGGCTTAAGTCTTATTAATCTTTATTTTACATCTATAGAATCGTGAGAAAATCTTGATTTGAAGCAAAAAAAATAAAATAAAAATTAATGATTCACATTTTAGCCAGAATCGTGCAGCCCTACTAGGAGGTAATAATACTGAACCACTTTCATGATGAAACTTATAGAATTACCAAAACAACTTTTTGAGGTGTTTGGCAATGTGGTTAGTCTTGGCCAATGGTCATTCATGACCATTTTTATTACCACATGATCTTACACAGTTGTGCGCATATGTATTTTATGCACATTTTTTATTTCTTGGTGTGTCCAGGAAAATGTAGATATATTTCAAAATGTGCATGAAAATAAGTGGATAGAAACTTATTAGCTATGGTTCCATCCAAAAATGCGAATGAACTGGATTATCGCATTAAAGACGTGTGAATTAAGTAGCGTTTCCATCCAACGAGTCAAAGCGAACAAAATCGTCACTTCCTGATTAACTGGCGCCAAATATTAACAGTAAAAAACAGAATTTGCTGTGATAATTTGCTGTGTCAATCTGTCCGTCATCTAATAAATGACTTGCGCCTCAGAAAGCAATCCTGACATGCAGTGAATGCTCGATGGCATTTGAATGTGTCAGACGCGAACCACAGACGCTCTTGATTGTGGTGGCCAATAATAATATAATAACACTAATACTGAAATGGTAAGGCGTTTTATAATGACCAAAACAACATTTCTGATGTTTTACAGTGTGCTCAGTCTGATGGTTTCTCCATTCACACACATTTTTATCATCACATGATCTCTTTTTAACAAAATCACATGATCTTTTTTAATGCGCTTGCTGGAGTTTGTCCGGTAAGTGTTTGCATCGTAGTTTATGCGCAACTTTTCTTATCGAATACAAAGTTTATCCTACTCGGTTATGCGCATATGTTTTTATGCACATTTTCAAAATGTATGCGCATCATGGCGTTTCCATCAACCGTTTTTTTTTTTTGGTTGAAAACATCTCAGCTTTTGTAAAAAAACAAGAACTTGTCCCATGTGAACAGCCCTTTATAGCCATATACTCACCGTCTTGGCAAGTTGGCAGGCATTCTCAGGAGAGTTGAGGATCTCATAGTAAAAAACGGAGAAGTTGAGGGCAAGACCCAACCGTATAGGGTGCGTGGGCTGCATGTCCTTCTTGCTTATGTCAAAAGCATCCTGGTAAGCCTTCTGAGAGTTCTCAACCGTGGCTGAGGGGGAAAAAAAAAGAGAGAAAAGGGCATAACAGTAAGATTGACAGTGTAAGAGACACTGGAAAGTTCTTGTAACTGCTGATGATTCAACTGGCAGTGCTGCATTGTCCTGAAAGTTCATTAATTCTGTTTTTTCTCAAAGTTGCCGATTTAAAAATTAACATCTAAGAAAATGTCAATGTATAAATATGCAATAACGTCAAAGTAACGTTTATGTCTTGGCAAGCCTAAGCCCGAGAGGTGGTAAATCCTGGCACAGCACATTTCTTTTTTTCCATTTCCAACAAAAGGAGATCAAAATTTAATAAGATTTCTGATTTACTACAAGAACACTGAAGTTATTTTTATTCTTTTTCTTTATTAAAACCAGAGTTACAAATGTAATCTAAATAAAAAATTATATTAATTAAAAAATAAATTAAATCCTGTTTACTATGAATACAGATATTATGAATTTTTTATGTGTATTTGACAGTTCCAATGCAATATGCCAGGAAAGTGAACTGATTCAGGATTGTGTGCTGTCTGACAGCCATCTATACTCGAATTCTGTAACAGCATACTACACCTACCAAAATAATGAAAGTTGGTTTTAATGTATATCTTGCTCTATTGAGTTTATTTGTGCCGTTTCTCATTAGTTTGTTCTTATTTTATTAGCCTTCTTGTAAAAGAAATCCTTAGCATTAAGCCCTGGTTGTGCACCAAGACAGAAATAAGTGATTTACTGAAATTAATATCTTATCGAAACTGAAATCGACTCATGTTTTGCTGAGAACACTTTCGTGAATTAAAATTAGGAAGATGCCCTAATCTCAGACCAATTAGACTAGCCTTATTAAAATTATATAAAAAAAATGTTTTGCTAGTTGCTACCCAAGCATATTTTTGTGTCATGGTGAGGAGCATCCACACTGCGGTTATCCATTTCCTCAACATAAATTAAATTCTAAACCATGGTGGTGAGATGAAGCCTTATAAAGCAGTGGTCCCCAACCCCCGGGCCGCCGTGGATCAATCAGTACCGGGCTGCACAAGTATGAATTATCTTTAAGTTTGCAGATAAAGTAGCTGCATTTAAAGGCAAACTGGATTTGTGGGGACGGCGCGTGAACAGAGGCATATTGACCATGTTTCAAACATTAGCAAGGATTTTGTGTGAGACTGAGCCTGCGCCCTCACTCACCAAGCTGGTGCAGGATCACCAGTCTTCGCTGTTAAAGGAGTTTGAGCGCTACTTCCCAACCTCAAAGGACCCACAAACGGCCAAGGAATGGATACGTGACCCATTTGTCAACAAACCAGCTGAATCCAGCATATCCGTGCAAGAAGAAGAGCAACTGCTGGAGATCGCAAATGACAGCTGCCTTAAACAGTGTTCGAGACAACAACTCTGCCGGTGTTCTGGATTAAAGTCATGGCAAAATACCCAGAGATCGCTAAAGGCTGATTTATACTTCTGCGTCAAACACCAGCGTATGCTACGGCGCTGACGCATAGCCCTTCGCCGTGGCCATCTGCGTCACTGACGTGCACCTCTCAAAAAAAATGTAACTACACGTCGCAACAACGCGCAGCGCAAGCTCTGTGATTGGTCGGCTTGGTAGCGCTGACGAGTCTGGGCGGGACCGGGAGCCGTGCAAATGGCGCCAGCGATTGTATACAAGTGTGGAGTACCGTGAAGGAGCTCCGGATGGAAAGTTTTATTTTGTGTTTACCTCATAGTTAAAGTTGTTGCACGTCCGCCGGTTCCTGCCTCAAAATGAGCGAGTTTGAGTCACTTGTACAACCAGGAAGTGTTCAGGAAAACCAAAACAGAAGCGAAGAAACTCGACACAGAGGAACACTTACACCTCACTGCCAACTAGCGTTTCGGAAGTGTTAATGCAGACCAACAGAGACAGCGCGCAGAAGTATAAATGCACAGCCACACACGTTGCTTGCGCCGTGGGTTACGCCGGTCACCTGACGCAGAAGTATAAATCAGGCTTAACACAGCGCTGAAAACCCTATTGCCATTTCCAACATCCTATCTGTGTGAAGCGGGGTTTTCTGCAGTGACAGAAAAAACAAGGCAAAGGAGTAGACTGGACACAAGAAACACACTTCGGGTGTCAATATCCCCTTTCACACAGTGATACCGGTAAATATATATCGAAAATTTCAGGAATGACTGTACCGGTAAATTCAAAAAAGCGCTGTTCACACAGACGTTACGGAATTTTTCCGGAAAAGAGCATTTACACATCCATTCCAAAATACCAGGAATTCTGACATCATTAACCAGAAATGAGCTCTAAACGGCTGCGCTTGTATTTGTAAACATTCGACTACATCACAAACTCTGTGGATGGATCAGTTTTGTGAACAACTTCAATGAAAACATATAGAGAAACACTTTCGCATGTCGAGATGTACATGATATGTGTGTGTGCTGGTGTTAACAGCTGTTTCACGGGCACACGCAAAGCTTGAAGGCAAACAAACAACGGCTTATCACAAGCATCTTATCGATAATTATTTACACGGTTGGCAGTAAAATGAACATATAATCGTTATCTGCCTAATTTCTAGCAGCTAAATGTGTCTGGAAAAACATTCAAAGGCATTTATTCTCATAAACCGCGCGGACGTGAATGCGTCTGACTGTTCTGATTGGCTAAAGCAGACATCTCTCGTCAACACGTTCTAGACGTGCACGTGCTTTTTCCGGCAATCTTCCTTCTGCCATTACCCCCAGATGGGACCATCTCGTTGCAAAGAAACAAGCTCAAGGTTCCCATTGATTTAGCGTTATGGACAGTTTTTGATGTTATAATATGTTATATTGTTGGAGCAATGCGTTAATAAAGTTATTACTTCCTAATGTTATAATAGCATTGTAATATTGGAGCAATGTGCTAATAAAGTTCCATATGAGTACACAGTGGATTCACGTTTATTATTATTATTATTTCAACCCCCCGGTCCACAGTAAAATTGTCAAGCGTTGACCGGTCCGCAGTTAAAAAAAGGTTGGGGACCACTGTTATAAAGCACTAAAGCTTTTCAGTCAAGTAGTTCACAAAAGGGTTCATTTGTTGAGGCTTTATATGCTCACAACACCACCTGATGGTCAAATAGTGTTAAACAAGGAGAAATTTTATATCTGATGTGTGGTATGATACAGAGTATTTTAAGCCTTAAATAACAATTAAGAAAAATCTACTTTCCACAAAAAAAAACTTTAATTGCATTTGCTTGAAATGTCGTGGGTTGGGTGCACGAAGTGTAAGATCACTAACAAAATAGTAAAAAAAAGAAAACACAGCATTAAATACAGTCCCTGCTTCAGGCTTTAATTTTAGATCTCCAAAAGTATTACAGCCAAAAAAAATTTATTTCATATAGATAAGATAGACAAACATTTAGATGCACTTACTGGCCTTGGACTCTCCGGATGCTACCTCAGATAAATATCTATAGTAATCGCCTTTCATTTTCAGGTAAAAAACCTTGCTCTCTGCTTGAGAGGCATTGGCAATGAGGTACTTCTCCAAAAGACCCTGTAAAGACAGATTGTGACAATCAAGGTGGTTAATTTTTGTGATCTAAAATATCCATTATTTAAAAAAGCAGACTGAACAATATGATGAATAGCTAAGTCTTGCATCTTAAAGGGCCAATTCACCGAAATTGAAAATGATGTTATTAATTACTGACCCTCATGTCGATTCAAACGACTAAATACGTAATTTATCTACATTACACAAATTAAAATAACAGTTGAAATCTGAGAGCTTCCATCTGACTTTCTCTCTTTGAAAAAGTTCCTTGGTGTATCCAAGGAAATACATAAGAGGCACAGCCAAGAAGAAACAGATCAGAGGCACCCTTCACTGAAGGAACTGTTAAATTAAGTCAGTATTTTGTTGTGTGTACGCACAAATGTATTTTAATTAATTGATAACATTTCAATTGAACCACTGAAGGCATATGGCATAAATAATTTTTGCCTATTTTTTTCTGAAATTTTGACGAAGCTCTCAGATTTCACCATAAATATGTTAACTTGGGCAACAAAGACAAAGATATATATATATATATATATAAATTGTTTAATTAATAAGTAAATATATATTAATATAATTTGAATAACTAAACAAATTATATAAATGAACACAAAAGGTTTAGGAGGTTCAGACAAGGATGTGAAGATACCAGCACATCACTGCAAATGTCCTGTAGTTCGGTCTCGATCTTTTCACGATACTCGCGAGCCATCTGCTGCTTCTTCTCATTCCCCTCGGTCTTCTGCTCAATGCTTGAGATGACGCGCCAGGATGAGCGCCGGGCACCCACCACATTCTTGTAAGCCACAGAGAGCAAGTTGCGCTCTTCATTGGAAAGCTCCACACCACCTTCAGTCACAGCTTTCATTGCTGCTGCCATGTCATCATACCGCTCGGCCTGTTCGGCTAGCTTGGCTTTCTGCACCAGATCGCTCTTGTCCATTTTTACACTGAAATGGGGAGAACAATAGTTACATTAATAAGATACTTCCATGAAAGCACAGGACAAAACCAATATAAGCCTTAAATTGAAAAAAAGGTGAATATAATTTTTTTTTTTGGCCGAAAAAGAACCTGACCTGTTTGCCACTACTGTTAAAAAAATTATGTATATATACACGTACACACAGTTGAAGTCAGAATTATTTGCCCCCACTTTGAATATTGTTTTCTTTTGATAAATATTTACAAAATTATGTTTAAAGCAAGGAATTTTCACAGTACGTCTAAAAATATTTTTTTCTTCTGTAGAAAGTCTTGTTTTATTTCAGCTAGAACAAAAACAGTTTTTAATTTTTTAATAGGGGTGTCAAATTAATTGTTTCTTTGGTGCACCGCGATAAAGATGCGTTATCGGTTCAATAATCATAATCGGTTATTGTGCACTGATGTCATTTATCTCACATGCAATGAAGCTTACTATGGTGAGGGAGGCGAGAGTGAGAAATTTACAATGCTCCAACTACTTAAAAACGCAGAAACTGTGCACAATTGCTGGATCAGTCTTTCACTGACACTTACAGCAGAAGCCCTTATTTCACTGTGATTCAGAGAATGAAAGTACTCCATTTCTTTCTTTCTTTCTTTCTCTCTCACTCACTCACTGTGGGCCTATTTGACCTGCTGGCTTGACTTTTCCTCTCCTCTCGGCTGTTTTACAGCGATACTTCTGGATAGACACGAGCGCGTGCCTGCAGAGTTTTCTCCACCATATCTATCATGGATCAGCTATGATCGCCGCTGCCGCTTATCAGTGTCACTCATCTGTAAAGAGCGCAGCGCACAAGAGCCAATCGCAGCCGCTTTTGTTGAGGGTGTGACCAATCAAAAGGGTAGACAAGGATCAGAGAGCGAGCGGGATATTTATATTTGTTTATATTAACTGCTATAAATGCTCGTGTTGTTTAAAGGTACAGTTTATATATCTGACTGTTTTAAATGACAAAATTGCATTACAAATAGTATATAAATATATTCATACATTTTAATACAAGAATTCTGTTATGAAGAAAATATAAAACTGTGTATGGAAAGCATCGTCAATGGACTGTGATATCGAATTGAACCAAATGGATGGCAGGATAATCGTAACAGAACCGTGAGACCAGTGTAGGTTCACACCTCTATTTTTTTAAACACCATTTTATGGACAAAAGTATTAGCCCCCTTATGCTATTTTTTGACTGTCTACAGATTAAACCATCATTATACAATAACTTGCCTAATTACCCTAACCTTCCTAGTTAACATAGTTAAGCCTTTAAATGTCACTGTAAGCTGTATAAAAGTGCCTTGAAAAATATCTAGCGATGAGTTAATAAAACTATTAAGTTTATAAATGTGTTGAAAAAACCTTCTCTTCATTAAACAGAAATTGGGGGGGAAAAAATAGGGGTGCTAATAATTAAGGGGGGTTATAATTCTGACTTTAACTGTATATATACATTTTTAAAAATACATATTTTTTCAATTTCTCAGTGAATATAGGTAATATTTTGTGCATTTGAACAAAACAGATTAAACATATTTATTAAAATATAATTTTAGTCACCGAACACATTGATAATACATTAAAATTAAAGCAAAACATTGGAAAAAAAATACAAACTACAAAATTTCAACATTTTATAATTTAGTTTTTCTTGTTTTTTTTTTTTTTGCTTTTTCTTTAAAAAAAAATCCCCCTAACATACAAATTTGAGTTAGTAATGTTTCTAAACTATTTTGTTAGATAAGCTCCAGATTTGGCTTTGTTACTGACTAATCTAATGTATATGCACAAATATAATATTGTAAAACATCCTATAAAATATATCAAGTTAAATGAGATTTGTGAGTGGTGTTCATATATCTGCTAAGCAGAATATACCACACACACACACACACATACATACACGTGTCTTTTTTATGCTTTTTGCGTCAAAGAAGGCAGAGTTTCTCTTCATGTCAGACGTCCTAAAATATGAACACACTCGACAACTGCTTTTTAGTAGAAATGGGAGCTTAAATCCTAATTTAAAGTAGGCTAGTATCAAATAAACTTAAACAATAAAATTCTGTGAATAAGCAAAGTCCGTGTATTGACCGTCGTTAATGTGGCAAAGACAGCTCGTAATGCTCCGCTGAAGGGATCTAAGGTTAGCAGGTTAACCCCACACCCTTTCATTTGCAAGGATGTATTTCTCTGAAATGATGACAGGCGTTTATTAATCCTCTTAAACAATACTGTTAACATTACACAACTATATAATACAATATTTTGGTGGGAAGTCTAGATGTTTCACTAGAATAATTCTGACAGCGAGGCCTGAAGCGCTTAGCAACCCGCTAACGTTAAATCCCTTCGCTGCCTGACAGAAATGAACACACTCGAGGAAACGAAAACATTTTGTGTGGGATAAAAAAGTGATATAACGAAAAAGTAACGTATACTCACGTTTTGAACCGTGTTTTCGATGATTTTAAACGCTAAAAAGATACGATTTATGTCCCGTACCCTTCTTGCTCTCCGGTAGTTCTGGGTAGTACCTTTTCCGCTTACACTAACACTTCCGCTTCCTTATTCTTCTGCATTTCTCGCGATTACCAAAAAACGTTTTGGCCAATTCCGCCACCTGCTGAGATGGAGTAAAGAGAAGCATGGGAAACGAAGGGGAATAAAATAATGAGAAAACACTGAGAGCTTTGTGAAAAGTGTTGACGTAATTTCAATGGGCTGATTTTTTTTATTTATTAATTGACTTAAAACTGATATTTCAGAGAATTACATTATTAACTTTTTATTTTGTATGAAAAATATTTTATTCACAAACAAAAATTCTCCAGTTCGCAGCCTTCTTTTACACATTTTTTAATAGAAATTGATGTTTTTATTAAATCTCTTAGACTAGTTAATAATAAGAAACGTGATAGATTCTTAGTTTTTTATGATAAATATTTTGGAAATTTCACGGATACATAAATCCTTTCCTCTTGCTGTATTTGTGTTATGTATGTATATGTTTAAACTTATTTTCTTTTTTTTCTTTCTTTTCTCTCTTTTGTTTCTCTTTTTATTAAATTTTTAATGTTTATATTATGTGTTATTATCATTGTGTTTGTGTAAAATTGAATTTTTTATGTTTGTTATTGAAGTCAATAAAAAAATATATATTAATTAACTTCAGTAACAAACATACAAAATTCAATCTTACTCAAAAAGACAATGATAGTAATAATGATAATAACAGACCAGGTTAAATAATATTATAAACACATAAATAAAAAAAAAAGATAGAGAAACAAAAAAAGAAAAAAGTAAAAAATTAAACAGAGATACATAAATAACACAAATACAGCAAGAGGAAAGAAGGACTTCTGTATCAGTGATATTTTCAAAATAATTATCATAATAATCCAAGAATCAATTGCCTTTCTTGTTTTTAACCAGTTAAAGAGATAAAAAAAAATATTTCAATTGAAAAATGTGAAAAAGAAGGCTGAGAATTGGAGAATTTATGCTTGTGAATAAAATTTTTCCATGCAAAATAAAAAGTTAATAATGTAGTTCTCTGATATTTTATCAGTTTTACCTTTATAGTAACAAATAATATCTTTCTCTACGCTTCAAATCGCGTGTACAGAATCCGTTTGGGAAACAGCATCTGTTTATCATTATGGAGCACGTCAGCTGACAGTCATGCACCATTATATGATTGTTTTGGGGATCGTATGGGCCACGGCACCTGTAATCAAGAGGAAATGGAATCGCGCCGTTTTTAATATTTATTTATAAGCGTTTATAATTTTCATTCCTAAACAAAGCAAAAGCACAGAAGACTCTCGTTTTAGAGCAAGGGGCGACCCCTGGTGGTTCGGCGGTATGGGTTGCGTATAGGGAGGCTCGGCTGTTCAGAGAAAGACTGAAAATACGGGAAAATACCTTAAAGGGATGATAGTGGGATAGAACAGTAAAATACGGGAGAATCCCGGGAAAAACGGGAGGGTTGACGGGTATGATTCCTTCATGTTTTGCTCGAAAACCACAAAGTTTGAGCCACCTGGAAAGGTGGAAAGCAACAGAGCTTAGACAGTTCCTAGTTTACACTGGAATATTGGTTTTATCAAGAATTCTGCGGCAAGACCTGTATGAACACTTCCTGACATTTAGTGTTGCTATTTCCATCTATGCCCCTCCTTGGTCAGTCAACATGTTTCATATGCACACAAATTGCTACAGTATTTTGTAGCTAGGGGCAGAGAGCTTTATGGACCATTATTCTTGGTGTACAATGTGCATTCAATGCTTCCCCTTGCATATGATGCAAAGACTTATGGTTGTCTGGATGAATGCAGTGCTTTTCCGTTTGAGAATCAGACGCAGAAGTTGAAGACAATGGTGCACTCAGAAAAGAGCCCTCTTGTGCAAATTGTGAAAAGGATCAAAGAAGTCCAAGATGATACAACTTTACAAAGTGTTCAAAGAGGCAATGTCATTTCTTTTAGACAACCAGACAATTGCATTATTTTAGAAGATGGCAAATGTTGTGAGGTCATTGATAAAAATAAGGATGAATACCCGTGTAGATTTTTTCTCCATCCATCTCCCCTGTTTACGATGCCTTGTGAATCATCAATAATTGGAGCATATGTTTGTCAAAAGAACACTCTTCAACAAATGATCCCAAAAGAAAAAGTGAGTCAGAGTAAAAAAGAGCAATAAAGATTGACCAGGAGCAAAGGGTGGTCTACCTGACTCTCCTTCACAAACATGACTAAACAGTTCTCCTTCACAATCATGACTAAAGAGCTCTCCTTCACAATCATGACTACACACCTTCAGCAAATTCTCCTATTGATAATTTCTGGATTTTAATTATGTGTAAGTTGCATTAAACTCTATTGTTTAACCACTCAGTGTTGTTTTCAAATGACTCATGTAACTTGTCTTTCAGCATGTTTTCAGTTGTTGAATTTACCTCAGACCACAGCGTTGCTGTAATTCCGGATGTATGGTAAGAAGAATTAGATGAGGTAAGGAGTATACTACTCTACTCTAAGTACTACCGTATTAAATGCAATTATGTTACCTAAAACGCAGTATGTCCATAATGTGGAAAATATAATGTTTATAATTGTAAACACACATGCCATGCACATCTTGTTTTTCTTGAAAAGTAAATACCAAAACAGATAAACAGCAGGATTGCAAGTTATTAGAAATATGACTGTATGGAATTGTTTGAATATTTTCAACTTGCACACAAAAAGATAAAAATAACAATACAAATCTTGCACATTACTGGTGTGATGTTTGCAGTGGTCTGTAAATATAGAAAAAATATAGAAAAATGTCCTTACCTGATAAAATCAGATGGATCAGATTGCAAGTCCATAGAGTTTTCAAATCATCAGGTATGTCAATAAATTGTATTGTCTGTTTTATATTAATGAGGATCAGAGATAAAGGCAGTAAAACTAATAGCTGAAATTTGGATTCTTATCCATTTTCAGTTATTATCAATCATTTTTACAATGATCATTTTACACAATCATTTTTTTTCATTATGCTTCATAAATGTTTTACTTTTTGTTCCCAATAATGTTTTTTTTTCTTTAGTTGACTACATTACAGCACAAAAGCTCATGATTAAAGCTCAAAATACGTCATGCCCTGAACTTTCTGATGCTTCCATCTCTGGAAAAATGCAGCCCAGGCTGAAGAGACCACCTTTACAGCTTTTAGAGTCAGATAGTGACATCACCGATATTGAAGAGAGTACGTATATTAATTTACTTTTCATTTTTCCAGGTAAAAAAAATAATTTAATTACACACAATTCATCATTTTCTTGTCGGCTTAGTCCCTTTATTAATCCGGGGTCGCCACAGTGGAATGAACCACCAACTTATCCAGCAAGTTTTTACGCAGCGGATGCCCTTCCAGCCGCAACCCATCTCTGGGAAAATTACACATAATTACATTAAATAAAATTGATTTTTAGGTGATATCAACAATATACCACAAGCAAAAACAACAACACTGCCATTCCCCCAAAAAACAATTGAAAAAAGAAGAAACTTAATAAAAAGTACAGGTAAAAGTCAATGATTTATAAAGCTAATGATGTTTATTATGTTATAATCTGTGATATGGTGTGTGTAATGTTCATACCACTAGTCAAACATTCTGGCCATTTGTCTATGACAGTGTTATCATTAACAATGTGATTCTGTACATTATTTTCAGCCTCTGACACCCTGTATTATGCAGAAGAAGAGGAAGAGAGAAGTTTACATGCTTGTTGTTAAAGTTACTGGTGACTCGAACAAGCATGGATGGTTTAAGTAGCAGCTCTAGAGATGAAGAAATGATAATTGTTCAAAGTGCAATAAGCAGCACAACGTTCATATAGCCTCTGGGCATTGACAGTCTTGCGCTTGAGCGCCTCCAAGTGCTTTTTACTGGTACTTCATCAGCTCTGTGCACGTGAACAAAAGTGCCAATCTGATTGGTGGAGAAGGCTTTGATGCGGTGCATCTAAACAAAAAACAAGCGTTTTTTTATGACGATTTTGCGCATGGCGTGCACGATCACTTTGACACCCTTCATTTAGTCACGAAGCGCTAAACAGCGACGGAAAACACGAGCAAAAAAACATCTCGGTGTGCACGGGCTTTTAGAATACACAGTTTGAAAAACGTGTTTTAATGTCAGACCTTAAATATCCCCTATTGTTTTATTATCATACACGATATCCTAATGTTTGTTTGTTTTTTTTCAAATTGCTAATGTTCAAAAATTGTAGTTCAGTTACCACTGTAAAAAAGCAAAGAAGTGCAGTGTAATAAAATGTGTAGTATAATAATTGTATAATATAAAAATACAGTAAGATATTAATCTTCAAGTAAAAGTAGAGAATGTAATTGTAAATAGAGAATGCAGGGCTGGGTGTAGTCATTTAAAAATATATATAATATAACTTTCCTTAGTAATGGATTACACCCAAAACTGCCTTGATAGCTTAAAATTTATATTTATAAAATAAATAATATTTTTCATAAAGGATTGATGAACCCTCAACTCAATACAGGTTTCCTTTTTGGCATTGCTTTCAGGACTTCCACTTTCCATATATGTTAAATGTTCAATTTTTCTCAAAATTAACAAAACACAAACATTGAGTCTGCAGCTCGAGTGCTCATGGACTGCATTAGAAATGAAAGGGAAAAAACTCACCAACAGTCGACCTGTCAGACCAGCCACAGTGCAGCAGGAGATGCAAAGGTAAGTGGTTGGTACAGCAGGACTGCTTCATTTTAGCAAAATAAAAATTAAGTACAGAGGGTCACTTTTTATTTATTTATTTTTTTTTTATAATTTCTCACTTCATAAATACACAAAAATTGGATCATAAAAAACAATAATTGTTACTTTAATTTATTTAATTTATTTGCAAAATAATAAAACTTGCTTAATGTTTTTTTCATATTCAAAGTAACTGTTACATTCAT